CTCTTAATCCCTAAGACAATAAACATGCATATGTGTTCGGTACTTATTTGTTTGATTTACTATGGGTGAGACTTATTTTGTTAGGTCAACATACTCAATATTTTGGTAAATAATGCCAAGTGCATGATGTGTCGTTCAGATTATTTACGGTCACCATGTCCGGATTTGTTAGGTTGACAGTTGATGACGTCCCCGAAATGAGCTCAATAAGGATTATTATGTCAAGCCCGACCGACGGATTAATTTCCGACATAATGATAAAGAACTGAGTGGTACTATTTTTTGGTTCAAGGAGTTGATTAATTACATTATCAGTAATTAAATTAATCAACAGACGGAATATATTAAACACCGGGAGGTAAATCGAAGAATTAATTGGGAGACAAATGAATTTTAATTCGAAACTAAATGGGGGGTTTAATAATATTCCTCTAGTGGAATGTTCTATTATTCAAGTATAAGCAGAGTGGAATTGGTCCACAGTTAGGCTCATACTTAGGATACGTTTGGATTGAAGGATTTATTGAGGCATTTGAAATCTATAAATTATAAATTTACAAGTTCAAATCCCCATGCAAGTTGGTTGGGATTGTAATAGAAGTGGTAGGATTTCAAATTCATGCTAGATATTTTTTAGTCATTATTTTGAAGGATTTTAAATGACTCCTCAAACCTAGTCATTTAAAATCTACTGTTTATCACCGTTGACGACCACGCCGTCAATACCACCGCGAGTCAACACCATCGGAGCGAGCTAGACAATTGATTTATAATATTTTCAACACATCCATCCTAATCCTAGTGTACAAGTAAAAAATTTATATTTAAAAAAATTTTGAAATCAAGGGATTTCAAATCCCTCAAAACAAACGTAGCCTTAAAGTTTTTTGCTGAACCAAGACGTTGCCGTATTCTTAGGCATCGACAGGAAAGGCGACATATCGCATGGCTGACCACGTCCACGCTCAAATAGAGCACATGACACGACTAATCGGTCTTAATGATACAATATGCATAGAACAACTTCGTATGGATTGAAATACCAGTGATTTAAATGGCGTGCGGTGAGCCGAGGCGACAAGGATCCGATTTGCCATGACGTGAGGCGTGCGGCGAGGCGCCCGCCTTATGAAAGCGAGGCGAACAATTATANATAATACAAAAAAAAAAGAAATATATGTACACTTGACAGTTTACCAAAAAGAGTTAAATTTATAAAAACATAAGTAAGTAAGTACAAACACCAATTATTTAACATTAAAATAAAAATAAAATAAAAGGTATGTTGAAATAAGCATGATTAGCCCACCATGATACTAATTAAAATAAGTTCAACCCCACCACATGATTCTAATAATTTCAATTAAAGCAAGTGTAAATGATGTCCCACAATTTATTACAAAGAATGCTATAAATTATTTGAAAAAGGGTCCCAGGCCACCCATTACATTAAACAGGGAGCAACATATAATATTTGTTTGAGCAGAAAAAAAATTACAAATGTAAAAGATGTCTTAAGAAACATCGGTTGACTAACATTTATTAAATACACATTAGTGATTATTTTGCAAACAACTCGGTCTAATGAGCAAGACATATGAAATGTTAGCACAAAATAGGTCCCAGGCCACCCACTATGCGATTTTTATATTTTATAAATAGAATAAAAAATGTTAAAAAAACTTACACAAAGTTACAGGACCACTTCGGTTTTCATCATAAATTAATAAGAAAAAAATCTCAACACTTTAACAAAGTCCCTCCCAGCGGACGTTTCATCCAGAAAAGAAAAAGAAAAAGGAAAGCAAACAAAGAAGAAGATTTACCTCTTTCCGTCGCCATAGCCGTCGCCGGTGGGTTGCTGAAAGCTGGTCGCCGTCACAGTTGGAAGAGAAGCCCCAAGGTAAATTTGTGTGTGCGTTAGTAATTTTTGTTAATTGGAGATATTTTATCTCCCCGTATGGTAAAACCCTAAGTATGAAAATACGTATTTGCTCTGACTCGCCTCACGTTTATAAGGCGTCGCCTCGCTCTATGTAGCGCTACAGCCGAGGCGACGCCATGGCGACGCCTTTCCAAAGCCCGCCTCGCCTCAAGGGTCTGAGGCGACAAGGCCCCGCCTAGCCCGCCATGTCGCGCTATTTTAATCACTGTGAAATACTTTTGGTAGGCTATGTTTCCTGCTCGAACATGTTGGAGGTCTAGTACTCACTAAAAATGTCCACATAAGTGAGCAAGTTGCTATTTTCCTAAGTGTGTTAGGACGATTTGACAATTTTCCATGTCCACATAAGTGAACATGTTGGAGGACTAGTACTCACTAAACAATGTCCAGTTTTATTATCTTGATCTTCCTTATTTTGATTAGAGGGACTCTGATTGGGTTGTGATGCAGTTACATATATACAATAATGTGTGTGTATGTGTGCTTAGGTTTGTTGTTTACATGTGTTTGTTGATTTCCCCCCACTCCTCTCTTTGATTAAGACAAGAACATGTGGTTTGTTTTTATCAAGACAAAATCTGTGAGGATCACGATAATATGCAAGTCACGGATTATCTACGAATTATGTGGGGGCGTGTTTTCTGTCTAATGGATCTTAGTCTCCTAATTTCAAGAGATGTGATGTATTTATAGGCTACAACAGGGACCATAAGGAGGTATTAAATTGGGCTTCTCCTACTTAGATTAGACTATAGGCCAAGCCTACCAAACCTAAATAGGAATAATACGGACACTCCACTAAAGTAGTATTATTGAATAAACTCCCAATTTAATTCCCGAATTATATTCGAGCTCCAATAATAATTACTCGATTTATCTCCTTTTTAAGATATAATGTCCATCAATTAATTTAATTACTGACAATTAAATTAATCGACATCTATAACTGAGACTAGTACCACTCATCACATTATTATTATGTCGGAATAAATTCCACTGACCAGATTTAACATAATTATCCTTCATGAGCTCATCTCCGGGACATCATCAAACTAACGCACACAGTGACCTTAAATATTCTAACAGCACATCATACATACAATAATATTACCCAAGACATTAAGTATATTGATCCAGTAAATTGAATCTCACCCAAGTGAATTAAAGTAATATTAATTGCATGCACATGCCTGTTTATATCTTACGGGTTAAGAGTACGCAGTAATTAACCGAGGCCTAGTTCGTTTACGACGATTAGTATAAAACGAACTTCTCCTCTCTGGGATCCGTTCAATACACAAAGTGTACTAGTGTAACTAATCAGTCAAGACCAATTGTACGGTTAACACTACAACTGTTCAGATGTTCATTTCCATCTAGGTTGTGAACCAACGATTCTTGTTTCGCAAGTAACTGATAGAATAATCTTCTGTTTGCCCAATGACGACTCATTCTATCTAAGTGCAAAACAACATAACTTGTTTAATTAAACATGATTTCATTCAAACAGATTAAGTATAAATACATCTAAAGTCAAACTTTCAGTATATACACCAACACCCTAGCCTACAAGATCATCTCATTCTACACGCATAAACACGTTAGGAAGAGTATTTTCTTTTCTTGAATAAGTTCGGATAAAATCGAGAGGTCTTAAGAGAGAAAATCGTGAGGCTTTGGGAGCTCCGTTTGGTCTCTCCACCAAGACAATTCGGAGAAGGTGTAAAAGTTTTACAGCAGAAGATTCCAAGGTCTTGTTTTTGCATTCTGACGAATATATATATATGGCATCCCGGAGAATACATATGTCCTCGCGGCACCTCGGACGACCACGAAACTAGGAGAGCACCACGACCGGAGGCAAACGACCCGCGTGACCCACACACACCACACACAACTCGCACGCGACCGCACACAGTACCAAGCGTTTCGCATGAATTACGCGGAATAGCGTGCAGCGTGTCCCTACGCCCGCACGCAACAGTGTGTACCCTAGCCTAGTCCCCGCGTCGTGCATGAATCACGCGGAACAGCAACAGCGTGTCCCAGCGCCTGCGGCAGCAACTCGACCCGCGTGCACACCAGCCCCTTCTGCATGATGTCTCGTCAACCTGGAGAGTTCCGCGTGAAGTCTCGCCACCAGCGTCCCTTCCGCGTGATGTCTTGGCAACCAACGACCAGACCATGAGAGCCTCAGCCACCAGCACACTAGACCGTGCAAGCCTCGGTAACCCACACACCAGCGAGACCATAAGCGAGCTGTCCATGCACAAGGCGACCCGTGGTGAGTCCCAACCACGTCCAGCCACCCGGATGCAATCCAGCAAGCCCAAGGCGATGCGAGACATAACTCCAACACCAAAAAACGTGACATGGTGATAGGGATGGATGAGCAACTCGACTAGATGGGCACGACGAGCAATGAGGCTCAGACGATCTCCATCAACAGAAATCAGAAAATCGGCTCCTGGGGAGCTCTTGGAGGAAGGAACAACCCTAAGTCTTGATCTTAACTATAAATTCCGCTGCGTTTTGATTTATTTTTAATAAATTTGAATGTGCACATCGACGACGTTTCTCATAAAATCCAACACTACTAAATAAGTAATGAGATACAAAAAATAGATGCTATTGTGTTGTTTCAACATGAATCCCAATGTTAAATTATCTAAAAGTGATTGAGATTGAGCCCAACAATAATAACAAATGGCCCCAAGACATTATCCACTCATCCTCTTCAGCCCGAACATTTGTTCCTTCTCCCAAATTGGTCACTTCGCTACCATAGATCCCTGTGCGCCATCAAGTCCAAGGAATCCGGTTGATGAGGATGAGGTCATGAACCGCTTACAACATGTTTAAGTTTCAAAGGAATCTAACATTTTTCTTAGTAGAGATGAAACTTGTTCCTTAATATTCTGCTGAGATATCCTAGTGTTAGCAATTAGTTTCAGATCCTACTTATATATATTTTGCTTGCCTATCCTTTATATCAGTCCCTGCTTTTGGTATTTCAGTTTTCCCAAGTTTTCAAATGTCCGAAGATATATCTATAATAATAATAATAAAAAAAAATCATTAAATGGTAAACGATGAGTTAAAAATGGACTAATGTGATAAATCTATATGGATCATAGAAATTAAAACATTTGCAGTATATCAACATCTTGATCATTTTCCAAGCACATTAGTTTCCTTCTTGGCTAACTTGTCGAGTTTCTTCACTAACTTTTTTTACATTAAGGTCGTCCATTACCCACTTTAAGACATTATACCAGCCAGAAAACTAAACATCTGCAGTTTATTACCATCTTGATCATTTTTCTAGCACTTCAAAATCACACAACTTATTAAATAATACAATTCAACAGATTAAATTTCATTTCTCCCCCAAAAAACATTACAATCTCATCAAGTCATCATTCTCCGGTCCGACCACTCTCGTACCCGACCGTCACAACTCCAGCACGACAACTGTCGAAAACCGAAATCAATCATTACAAACACAATTAAAAAAAAAAAAATTAAAAACATGTCCTTTATTTATTTAATTATTTGAATAGTGCAAATTTTATGCAGAGAGTGGCCTTACAGTCAGAATCCGTGGTGATCCAGTTCCCGGGTCGGGCAACAGACAGATCTCGAACGTGCAAAGGAGTCGAACTTATTGACTCAGCTTTGACCAAAGTTCGGTCGTGTTTCAATGAGGAAGCCACTTGAGAAATTGCCGAGTATACAGAGGAAGTAGTCGAGCGGCTCTCGACTTCCCACCTGAAGCTGATTTTTGGAGACTCATCGTTAAGCTGATCGTTATCCGGCACTCCCTTCAAAGCCGCCCGATTCTTGAAAAGCAACACCTGTAATAATAATCGTTAACCGATTCATTCGAAATCGGTAAATAAAGCTAAAAGTGATCATTTTCAAGAGGGGGGTATTTGTAGTTTTGGAAGAAAGTCGGGTTCTTTACGTAATTAGAAAGAAAGAAAAAATAGCATATTCGAAAACTAACCTTTCGTCCGATGTATTTCCCGCCTTTTTCGGCCTTGGCGGCCGCGGCCCACTTAAGCAGCTCTTTCATTCTGAAAAGTGTTTTCATTTTGTCCCCCTTTGACTTTTCCTTCTTGTCCGGATTAGGACACTGTTCGTCGTTTGAGGAATGAGACGTGTCTGTTATAGGCAAGACTTTATTTCCGACATTCGAATCGGACTTTTGGGCAATGCCGAGTTCTTCTTTCATCTTCATGGAATTTGCAGAATGAGGCCTTTTACGGCAACTTATGAACGACTTTAGGTTGAGTGTGTGGTAGAGGTAACTATTTTTTCGTGTAAAGTTGAAAAGATGAAAATCCTCGCAGTTCAATCCGCTTTGTTCGACTCTTTTCGGAAGCGTTTGATTAAATCCACATTCGTCGCAGGCTACTATATCTTTAGACTTAACTTTCTTCTGATCTGAAAACCATAAGAGGAAGG